GTGTCACTGGCCCTCATATGTGGGATCCGAACCGGGGCCCTCTGGCATCCCAAGCGAGTTCTTAACCATCGCGCCACTCGGCCGGCCCAGGTGCATTTCTTTTATACAGTAGTATAGTTGACATACTCAATTTCATTTCTTTAGCCTAAAATCAGTGTTAAATTTTTCATTCTTCGTTTTTCATAGTACTTTACTACATCTGATATAATAAATTCAGAAGCATTTGTTTCTAGCTCTTCTGTTGTTTTTGACCTCAATTTTATAAATGCTCTTTTGGGTTCTCAGAAAGATTATTTTGAGATGACCAAGTTAAAAAACGAGGATAAAAGAATAAAGGGAGTAAAATTATTTCATACCATCTGGATTTCAGTTGCTTGTTTGATTTTGACTGGTTGAAATGTAATTTAAAAGCACTCTCATAGGGGCTGGCCAAGTGGCTCAGTTGGTTAAGAGCTCGTTCAAGAGTGCAAGCTCTGAGCAACAGCAGTTTGAGTCCCGGCCCAAGCTGAGCAGTTGATGAGCTGCCAACAGGTGGCAGGAGGGCTCAGCTAAAAAAAAAAAAAAAGCACTCTTCTAAAATTGAAACAATATAGAAATATGTAGTATACCAAACAAAAGTTCTCCAAACCTCTTATTCTCCCATCCGACCATCTGTCCCTGAAGTAAGCACGTCTTTGGCATATTTGACTTTTTTCTTTCTGTTCAAAACCATTTTGTTTTAAAGCTTAAGCATAAAAGTCTCTAGCGTGAATTGCATGTACTGCCTCCTAATTTTTTAATTTTGGAAAAGAACATGCTCTTCTGAGTACATTTTCAGTAAGCACAGGTTGTCTTTTAAAGTGACTTTTAAATGATGATAGTACCTGAGTTTAAAAATTATCTTTCCTTGACTACGTTGAAATCCTGTAAGAGTGAGGCAATGGTTAATGTTGCTTTGGTTTGGATTTTTCTTTGTTTGCTTGTTTTTTATTGACTACAGGTAGAAGTATGATTAAATGCATTGCCTTTTGAGTTGATCAGCCTGCTTTAGATTAGAGATCTGCCACTCATGATAACTGGGCAAGTTACTTCCCTAAGCCTTGGTTTCCTCATTTGTAAAATGGGGAAAACTGACACTACCTATATGGCAGGGTTGTTTAGTTGTAAATCAAATCTTGCAAAAAAGTACTTACTACAATGCCTGCTATATATACTGGTGTCATTGATGATGATGATGATGATGATAGTAAATATTTGAGTCTTTAAAAAAGACATCTTTATTTTAGACTACATTTTATTATACAGCTCTAAAACCACACATGTTTTTAAATTCTAAATCCACATTGAGCCAGAACAGCTGGCTGATAAATAGATCACATTCTAAATATGTATCAGTAGACACCATTAGCCAAATTGCAAAAATAATAGAAAAGGAGAGGAACTCTCTAGGAACAGTGCCCTCTGCACTTTGTCAAGAATGTATCTTGTTTTTACATATGGTAGCTTAATTGAAATTTTGGTTTTGGCGTGTGACTTTTTTCTAAGTAGGAATATTTTAAATTATGGGATTATTTTCCTCATGTTCTCAGCCTTTGTGTGAGTAGCTATGTAGTGTTTTTTGTTTTTTTTTAGATTTTATTGGGGAATTGGGGAGGGGAACAGTGTTAGGGAATTGGGGAAGGG